TTTTTTTAGGAGAAAACTGAGGCTCAAACAGGTGAAGGAATGTCCCCAAGGCCACACGGCTAACAAGAGATCACCAACTTAGGTCAGTCTGGCTCTAAACCCATCTGTACTCAGAACACCAGCATCTCGTCTAATTCAAGAGGCAGTGCTTTCTGAGGCTAAACTCTGTCCTACTTAGTGCTTCAGTTTCCCCCAATGAAACTAGAATGACAATTCCTTAATTTCTCAAATGTTAGGGGATAAAATAAAGGCATTCCAGCCTCCTGCATCCTTTTCTCAGCCGAAGGAGAACCCTGACCTTTTTGCCAGGCCCCTTGTCCTTCAGAGACTTCCCTGTAGCCCTTGCTGCCAATAACACCCCTTTAACCCTGCCATGATAGCAGTGACAGCCGGGAGATGCACCAGGCCCTGCAGGACTTCCTCAGCGCCCAGCAGGTGCAGGCCCCTGTGAAGCTCTATTCTGACTGGCTGACCGTGGGCCACGTGGACGAGTTCCTGAGCTTCGTGCCTGCACCCGACAGGAAGGTACAGTCTTGGGGGCTGCCTCAGGAAGCCATGCCTCCTTCCTGAGTAGACCCTCTGCCTGGGGTGGGAGCAACTTTACTTGTCTGAGTCGATTTTTCCTTCACCCTTAGGATGGGAGTAGAGGAGGTGGCCAGCTTGGGTCCAAGTCCACACCCCTCCCACCCTCGGCAGATCCACCCTCCTTGGGAGCCCCAGGGGCAAAGCTGACTTCTAACCCCAGTGTTTCTGCCTCCAGGGCTTCCGGCTGCTCCTGGCCAGCCCCAGGTCCTGCTACAAACTGTTCCAGGAGCAGCAGAATGAGGGCCACGGGGATGCCCTGCTGTTCCAAGGGATCAAGAGTAAGTCGACCCTGCCTTGTTCTCCCATCCTGCTTCCCGTGGTCTGCTGTTGCCTGGAGGGAATCATTCAGGCAACAGGGTAGCATCTGAGCACCTACTGTGTGCCAGGAACTGTGCCAAACACTGGGGAGACTGCGTGGACAGGGCAGAGCAGCTCGCTACCCAGTGGGCTCACAGGCCAGGGGAAGTGAGTCAACAGAATAGCTCCAACACAGGGGCTTTGAGGGGTGTCTGAGTGGACGGAGCTCAGGGAAGCCTTCTTAGAGGAGGCAAAGGCCAAGTAGGAGCATGCAAGTAGGACTTGGCTGGGCAAACGGGGCAGGGAAATGACAGGAAGAGAGAGACCGCAGGCAGAGGGGCAGGGCGTGTGAAGGCTCAGAGGTGGAAGAAAGCGTGATGTGTGTGAGGACCCGGGGGAGGTTCGGTCTGGCTGGAGCACAGATGAAATATTACTCTTTCAGCAGAGCTCACAGACACGGGCCAGGCCCACAGGCTGAGAAGCCTCCGTGGCTGAGAGCTCCACCTCAGGTCTGAGTATGTTGTGTGGCGTCAGGTGAGGGCGGATCTGTTTCTTCCTCTCTCGATGGGATCTCTTTGGAGACAAGAGAATTTAGCATTAATGCAAGACAAAATATTTTAGTGAACAAGTTTCAGTGGTTCAACTTTTTAATAATTATAAGTAAACCTGTTAAATTTTTCTGGACGTTCTTTTTTTTGAGACGAAGTTTTCCTCTATTGCCCAGGCTGGAGTGCAGTGGCGCAATCTCAGCTCTCTGCAGCCTCCGCCTCCTGGGTTCAAGTGATTCTCCTGCCCCAGCCTCCCAAGGAGCTGGGATTACAGGCGTGCACCACCACGCTCGGCTAATTTTTTGTGTTTTTAGTAGAGATAGGGTTTTGTCAGGCTGGCCAGGTTGGTCCCGAACTCCTAACTTGGTGATCCGCCCGCCTCGGCCTCCCAAAGTGCTGGGATTATAGGCATGAGCCACCGAGCCCTGCTCAAAACAAGGAAATTTCTTATTGACGGCAACTAAATGGTATTTGTAGCATTTTTATCACACAGTAGATTCCATCTATTCACTATACTTTTCTGAGCTGTCTGTCCTGCATGCAAATAGATATTTTTAATGTTGTCTGTTTTCTGTGCTGTTCCTATAAGTGTGCTATCAAAATACATTAAACTAGGCCAGGCGCGGTGGCTCACGCCTATAATCCCAGCACTTTGGGAGGCTGAGGC